CAAGCGGCCATGCGCTGCTGCAACAAACAAAGCTGTTGCCCCATCTGTGTCTACCACATTCATGTCAGCTCCAGCCTTGAGCAACAACCGCACCACTTCCAAGTGACCCCGCATCGCTGCAACTAACAACGCTGTGTCCCCATGTGCGTCTTTGGCATTCATGTCCGCTTCAGCCTCGATCAACAATCTCACCACTTCCAAGTAGCCCCATTCTGCTGCAACAAACAACGCTGTTGTCCCATCTGTGTTTGCTGCATTCATGTCAGCTCCAGCCTCGAGCAACAATCTCACCACTTCCAAGTGGCCCTGTTGCGCTGCATGCCAAATCGGTGGAGAGTCCCTGTGTGCACATCTCCCATCTGGATTCAGTGGTGTCTTTAGCAAGTTTGCAACTTCAGCATCTTGATTCTCCCGACATGCAAGGAGTAGTCTATCCCAAACGGCCTTTTCAGGCGTACAAAAGTCCAGGATCACCAACTGCACACTAGGTAGTCCTGTGAGGGGCATATCATCCTGTAGCTCGCCCATTTCAGTGAAGAGTCTTTGTCGAAATCTGGAGCGTCCGATCTGATTGGCCAAGAGGATCTTCAGATCGAGAAACGTCTTTCCACTCGCCACCATGCGGCCCAATTCCTCCTCATGAAGCTGGCAAAGAGTCGCACCTGAGAGAGATGTAATCTCCATTGCAACACTGGAGACACTTCGCTCCTCTTTGGGAGGAGCCAGGCGACGAAAGGAAAGGATCACCCTTCTCCCGAGTGGTGTGGTGAAGGTTCAAAGCCTTTTTCACAACGAATCGACATGAATCGAGTGGAGCCCGGGAGGAACATCCGGGAATCGACCTTTTGTGGGGCGGCTCGTTTCGGATGACGTCCTCCGAGGCGGTAGTCAGGGCTCCCGCCCGGATTGCCGGCCCGCCCTTGCTCAGTCCAAGGGGCCCGTCCGAGATGTGCGCTGGCCTTTTGGAGCCGAAGGAAGTCCGGACTCTTCTTCAGCCCAGCTTCCACCAGCAAATGCCCAAAGCGCTTCGTGAAACCTCCAGTTCACTCCGAGTGGCGCGATGTCAAGACCCAAAGACATCCATCGCCAAAGCATGCAAAGGATCGGATTTTCCGTTCATCCCGAAAGGTGCATCTGATGGGCATGCCTCCCAGGAAGAACCTCTCTGAACCAGCAGTTCAAAACATGAGATCATTGTTTACAGCTTCGACGTAGTGCAAGAAAACAAGGCTAGACTAATGTGTCAAGTGGAATGAACCAAGAGAAATGCATAGAAATGCATGAGATTTCATGCACTACATGAGAATGACAAGGAGGAAGATATTCCGGACAAAGACTCAACCCCCCAAAAAAACCCAACTCGATACATATTGAGTGACTTTGCTTCGATAATCTTCGATCCATTCGACCTTGATCCCGAGAAACCTATCTTCTTTGATGCACCTTCTACAGTGGCAACTGTAGACTGTAGTCTACCAGAAACAGCCTCATCTACACTTTGGTCGAGTTATTCTTGAGATTCGTGAACGTCACACCAACTGCTCTGCAGGCACCTTCGGCGTCGGCAAAGTAATCGAAGGTGCACCCTGCAGCGCTGGTTGAAACGCTCAAAACAGGTCGATTGTGTCAAAGCAGCTGTTCAAACTTTCTGTATCATCTACAATCACTATGTTGGGGTCTCGTGTTTGGTGTTTCGGCAACCAAACCATTGACCGCCCAATTGACTTTGCTCACACGTTTCCCAACACATGGAACACCATGCCGCATCACTCCCTTGGCTTTGGGACCAGGGTGTTGCAATAGAAAGCACGCACTCAGTGGCATCGAATTATCCAAGCACAGGGAAACCTACTAATACTAGTAGTGTACTTACTATATTGTTTAATACTATGCACCAATGACATGCTTGCATGTTGTAATTGGCCTCAAAGCATGAGGATGTTCAAACCGAACCACGAACAGACTCAATCCAGAAGAAAGCGTCGACGAATGTCCTAGAAAACAATTCCAGCGTGCCATGGGGGCTTTTTGACCTGCCATGAGGTTCAAAAGCCACCTTTCCGGAGTTACGGTCGTTCAGTGCGATGTGCCTTCGTGCGGAGTTTGGAAGGTGGACGACATGCCGTAGGCGTCCCACATCGGCAGCAAGCCTCGTGCGTCCGCGTCCATTGTTGTGTTGTGTCTGTCTTGTTTTCTGGGGGGACGGGTGGAGGTTTTGGAGGGTGACTGATGGTCCAGTGCAGAAGGAAAAAAAGGCAACCACAACCAAACAATTCCCAGCTACGTCAATGATCTAGTTGGTCATGGGCTCAACAGATCCTGCTTCCATTCTGTCTTCGTTGTGGGGTTCGCCCAAAGAGACCGAAGAGTTCACACCGTGGCCGACGGACGAGACCACGAAGAACGCCGTTACGCGTCCAGGACCGGCGCGTGATCCTAACGTGGCGCCGGTGAGAGAATCACCCAGTGTCTGCTTCAGCACCCAACACATCCGATCCCCGATGGCCAGTGCCGAAGAACTCGGGAAGAACACCACGAGTTCTCCGCCAATCCTCTCCAATCCTCTCATGGCCACTTTTGGGATCAATGAGTTCGGGCCTACCCCTCATCCAGGACCAAGTAGCAAAAATGCCACCAGCAAAAAGGAACGTCTATGTATAAGTGGGTGTCTTCCAAATAGGAACTGGGTGTCAGAAAAGCAAGGTACCAGTGAAACCATTGAGATTGCACTGCTGAAACATGGAGACACTGTGGTTCTATCGGCACATGCCGTTTCACACGCCTCGTTGCCTCGTTGACCGGGCTGACCAGTTTTTTTTGCAATTCAGTCTTGCTGAAGTTTAGGTTGAAAATAGGTTATCAGTTCACCTCAGGTAGAAACTAATGGCAAACGAAGTTACATCTCCCTTCTGGGCGGTTGTGAACATTAATTCGTAGCCAGGGTTGACCAGGCCTATAGTGCTCTTCGATCGTCTTTGGAGGAAACAATGGACACTTCATGAAACTTCGAATCTACCGTACTTTGCCACTCAAGGTGCGGTCAAGCCCCACGACATCACTTGACTTCTGCCATCGACACCGCCTGAATTCCACGTCTTCCAGGCGAGGGCACTGCAATCGAAGGCGTCCGGCAAAACGAGGCGACGCTTCAGGAGGACGGCCACTTCGAGGGCCGCCGCCAAGTCGAGGAACTGACCTGTCACGTTCGGAACGTTCTCCACGTTTCACTCACTCGTGAAGTCGAGGGACCGGACGAAACGTCGGGAGATCCTGGATCTTCCCACCTGTTCAACATTTATGCCGAACTTGCCTGCTGTTATTGATGAAAAGGCCAGACACTCTGCACAGTTGGAAGATCGTAGTTAGCATGATGCCTGCGTCCGAATGCCGTGAAACCCCGTGTGGATCGAACGTGGCGATCGAAGGGTGATGTTTTCCATTGACCGATTGCTAGTCGGTTTGGGGACTATTTGTGAGCCGTTGGGACTCACAGCATCTTTCTGGCGGAGCGACATCTCCGTCTGTTGAACATTTTTTGGGTTTCGACAGCCTTTTCAGTGTCAAGGTCCTGCGTCCCGGCAGATTTCCTCTTCACAACCTTGGACCCCCATCACCACTTGAGGGAAGGCCATGGCAGCCAGCCTTCTGTTGGTTGGTCACAAAAACAAGGACGGGACACCCATGAAAACAGCCTCATACAAATTACACCAGTACCGGTCGCTCACGGGAAGAGTCATTCACATCTTGGAGGGCGGGAAGAGTCATTTTCCACCAGCTTTTCATGGTCGGCATGGCATGAATGGCATGTGTTCACACCTCCAACAAAGAAAACGCAGGTGCTATATACTTTCACCCCTACATATCCACGACATATCCGTGACCTTGTCATGCAAGGTTGATGTCCTAGCCATGAGGAAAGAACCTCTTCACAGTCCAAAGAACCAATCACATCGACCAATATTACGTATCTCGGTAGTATACGTTGGGTATATCCCATGATCAGGGCCTCAGTGGATGATGATGTGACAATCTTAGGCTTTACTAAAATAGGTGACAATCTTTTACTGACTGTTACTGGTTTACCGGGTTACACACCCGAGGCATACAGTATACGGTAGGTGTCTATGTTCCCTTTGCCACACGAGTTGTGGATATCTATTCTGATAATTGCATGGTCAATCCACACATCACCATGAATTTCATTGAGTTTCTGCCTTCAACTCACAAGCCATGGTCATCCGCATGCAGATTCCTTCACATCTACGTACTGACGCGCTCGCATGAACCGGTCTGGACTCTGGACCGCAAAGCCATCGGACCTGTGGACGTCAAGCCGCTCTCCGTCGACCGCCAAGTCGCAAGCCAATGGATCAAGATTCCACGTCGAACACGTGGAGGTGCCACGTGGTTCGTAAAGCAGGAACCGCCACGTGTCGTTCTCGTCATCGACACGGATGGTCTCGTCTTGCTCTTCTGGAAGAAGAGCCTGCAAAGTAACTCCGAGTTTCCATGGATTACAACCCGCTACAATCTTCGTCCAGGAAAACAACAGCAAACGAACCAACGGATCATCAAACTGTACGGATCATGAGAAACAACAGTGAACCAAACCACAAATTCAATCATGTTTCTTCTCTTCTTGTCCCCCTCTCACCCTCTCGAAACCGACATTCCGGCACACCTAAAACCCTATTCATCCCGGCCAGGTTGCTGGTGGGTAGTACTCGTCATACTGCACGGGCTCCCGAAACCGCTCCGTGAGATTCTCGATGAACCAAAGGCCTCGATCCTGATGGCCGAGATCCGCAGCTGATCCGTAAAGAAGGTGTCTGCATCCATCATGATCACGCATGTTGTCATGTTTATAACATTTTATAAACAAATATCTGTTTTCATGTGTTCCCCTTTGCTTCCCATAGGCCTGGCGGACCACATGTGTTCCCCTCCAGCACCTCTCCCGGCTCCCTTCGCTGCGAAGGCGACCGAAAAGCATGGCGACTGCGCGGTGAAACCATGCCGAAGGCGACGCGACGGGGTCGGTCTTTGGAGAACCATGGTGGGGTCATGGTTTCATGATGTTGAACATTCAATGTGAACGATGTCCTTTTTGAGAAACATCGAGGGGTCGGTCTGGCGGCATTGACCCCTATTGCTTGTACACGAGCTTCACTGTTGTATCCCCTCTATCAATCATCCAACCACTAGGAAAAGGTCATCGAAACCATTCCAAACCCCAAAGGGAACCATCTGCCAAGGATCGCGCAAGAAGTACTGCTTGTTTCGGCCAAAGTTTGCATGCGCCACCTCAACCGGCGCCGGTTGTAATGGAATGTCTCACAACCTGCACCGGCGCTCCAAACTACTCTTTTCAAAAGATAGAGGGTGTTCAAACATATACACTCCGACTCCCCCATTCGTAAAGGAAAGTCGTCTTCCAAAGGACCATTTTCCACTTCCATGTTAGTTACTCAGAGTGTAGCTATAACATGCTCATCATGTAACCACCACAAAGCAGTATACACATACATCATGTCGACATGATGATCTGCTTTTAAACAGGATTGTATCAAGCCGTGCACATGACGACTCGCCCCCATCCTATCAAACTCTTACCTATACTCGTCGTCATCCAGTGAGGCGACTAGTCTGAGCCATTTGCCTGGGTGGTTCACCACCCTTTTGGGAGCCCGAAGATTAAGCCTCTCAGCTCTCAGTCGCCCAAGCGAGCACGGTAGAGCTCATCCTTCAGAATCTTCCAATCTATCCTATCTACCTGGTTTCAGTGGATGATGATGGTTAGTATAGGCCTTCAAACATAGTGATCATTGTTTACTGGCAGCTCTACAGGTCAGACAAACACAACCACCTCATGGGGGGCCCACCTGAACATCTCAAGCGCCACGCCAGCGGACCTGAAATCGACTGAGGGCCGCTCCGAGTCCCAGGGCCCGTGGGTTTCACTCCGGCCACCCAAAGGGGGTGTTGATGGTTTGAACCCATGTCTCTCCCAGATACCGTGGAGATCCATGGTGAAACCCCAAGGTTTCACGATGGGTTTCACCTACAAAGAACCCCCCCCGTGGTGATCAGTCATCCCTCTCCACATCTCATCTCTGCGAACATGCAGCAGGAGGAGCTTCGAGGTGCCGCCGACGCCACGAGCGGAGCCAGAAGAAGCTTCCACCGTGGGCGATGACGTCCGGATGAAGCACTCCTGAGAGCACTGGATGTGGCGGATGTGCCCGGATGTGCCGGATGAAGCACACACCATCAAACTGAGGAGCTGAGAAACAATTTATAATATGATCGATCTTATGATCAAACTCAGTTGCACAATATATTGCACACTCGTCTTTGTGCTTGCTTTCTGGAGGAATTTGTGTGATCTGTTTGGCCTTCCACATGACCCCAAGACCCAAAACCCAAACCGCTCACGGTCGGATTCACCGCACGGTCAGTGACCCTTCCGGTCACCTGACCCTCCGTGCACCGTTCGGTCACGACGCGTCCGCTGTGTTGGAAAGCACCATTCCGAGGGTCGGATGGAGGGGTTTTCGGACCACTCGCCCGATTGGCCGGAAGGGCTTCGCCACCTCGCGGCTCGCGAGACTGCGCGAGAGGAGACCGCGCACAGCGACGTGCGCAGAGGGAAGAGGAGGGGTAAAGGTGTCCGGTTCCGCCTGTCACTTAAGGTGGTGGGCATAGTGATGTTCATTGCCAACTTTCTGCATTCCTCGGATGTACCATGGATGTACCATGGATCTTTCTTCCTAATCAAAGAAGAGCCTTTATTGCGCTGAAGTTGGTGCCCATTGGTGAAGCGTATTTCTTGATTCAAGATGCTTCAAGCATCCCCCAAACTCCACAGCAAAGCCATTTTGTCAGGAGACTTTGGATGATGATGATGATGATGATCATCATCATCATCATCATCATGATCACGATCATCATCAACAAATCTGTTCAACCGATCAAGAACATGATTTATATTCGCTCTTGTGATGATGCGTTCATCAAGGTTTTGTCACTTCACATCTCCATCAATCCGCCTTTCCCCAGGACTCCACATGTTCCTTCAACGCATTGCCGTCCCCGTGCCGTCCCCGTGTTCTCACTCCTGCGCCGCCGTGAACCTTCGCTTCTCGCTCCCAAAACCGCGGCGGTACCAATCGCTCGGTGACATGAGATGACCACTGAGATGACCCTATAGCCTATCCCAGTAACTCTAGGTTTTCAAACAAAGCACGTGCAAAGGATACCCCTGGGACTCTCTGGGCTATCCTATAAATCAAGCAAGTCAGGCCTCAACGGTTCAACACCTCCAGGTTTGAGAGGCTCCATCTTGCTGCTGTGCACAGTTTGGTGCACAACACCAGCAGCATTCTCCATGGACAACTCGATTTGTTTCTTCGTTTCCAGGGCTACCAGGGGTCGTACAGTAATAGACTATATAGACATAGTGAACCTGATCCACATGTGACATTCCAGGCCTGGAGCCGTAAGTCAGGTTCTCCATGTGCGAAACGCATTCTCCGCTTTCAAGACGCCTGGCGAGCCGAGAGACGCAGCTCGTGCATACGCCGGGTAAACCGTTCCGTTTACATCCGGACCCATCTGGACCCAGGGACTCAGGGAGAATGTCCATAGCAAGCCGCCGTGAGAAGGTTCACATCTCTTGGACTGAAAAATGCACGGTTCGCATCGACATCATCGACCTTTGGCGGACTGGAGGGGGGTCATCAACCTTCGGACTGGAGAGCCAGAATCTCAACAGAAAAACATATGGCACGGCTGCATCTGCCATGGACGGTCATGGCACCTGCCATGTCATGCTGGTTGATGACCAAAGATGGCCGTTCATGCATGACAGGTAGAGAACCAAGTCGGGCCCTGAGTGTGCGTCAAGGAAAGCTTCAGGAGCTTCTTTCATCAGCAACTTGACGTGTGCGCAGAAAGTTGGCACCTTCATTGCTAGCTGGCAGTCTCAGTCCTGGTGAACCTCCTTGTCTTAGACCACTCACCCTCAGCAGGACCTCTAGAGTCGGCGCACAAGAAGGATCGAGGATCGAGTATGGATCGAGCTCCACAAGCACAAGCTCTCATGCCGAGTCTCCTTAGGCTACATGGCTCCCTGGAAAAACGGTTGAGATGGCATGGACAAAATATCTATATCTCGTATATCTTCTGATTCAGTCGAGATATCCTGCGTCCCTGCGTTCCAGAACACCTTCACCCACCAGTCCTCAAACATTCTCCCCCGAGCCCGCCCAATAGACATCGGTGTTTCCCTTGTCTCTGGTTTCTTCATGTTGCTTCAGACTTCAAGTCATTCAAGTTCAATCCCAGGCCTGTCGCAGTGATCTACCTAAACAACATCCACTGACAACGACCCCTCACACTCCCCCCAAAGAACCCTGTCTGTCATGGTTTTTCATTCAAAGAACCTCTTCAGTTCACCTGCAGCTCCGAACCCGCTCCGAACCCGCTCTCGCACCGACCGCACCGACGGAGCTTACGGAGCTTCTCCGCCTTCGGAGGAAGCTGCTGAAGATCCGCTGGTCAAAGAGGTCGAAGATGCCGCCGCCCAAGGTCTGGAGAACGTGTTCGGCAGGACGTTTTCGGACGGAGGACGGCGGGACGTGATGAAGTCGTGCAGGGGCGTGTCGTCTACGGCGGTCTACGACGCTGACGATTTTGGTCCTCATTCATTTCAATGATCACCATCTGGCGTCGGGATTTCGGAGACATTGGACGATGCCTGCATCTGGTTTCTTTTTTCTGCAGGTGGTCCAAACTCTGACTGCGACTTTAGCTATGTGCTGGATTTGGTCGGATGCTCATGACAGAATCTTCAGGATGGCGTCATAGCGCCAGAGATCTGCGACTAGATCTGCCACAGAGCAGGTTGGGAGTGCTTGGTCATCTCACTTCCGCTGAAGCCACACGCATTCGCCTCTTTTTCGGCCACAGATCTACCCCCTCCAGAACTCTTGGCCCATCAGAAAGATGCTTTACGGCCAATCCTCCCAAAACGTTTGAGCCACCACTTGGGATTGCTTCAGCCGCCTCTTGGCCCGTCCCGTCGACTTTGAGGATCGATGGCGCGGGGTGAACCGCAGACCAAGACCAGACCAGACGGACGAGCAAGACGGCAAAACGACGGCTGACTGGTGCGACTCGTAGGGAATAAGGGAAGTTTCACCCCCAGAGATTCTATTGGATCCATTATTTCTCTCAGCCACCCTGCAATGTGCGGTCCAATGGGTTTCTTTACATGCAATGTGTCCGCTGTTTTGATGGAATTCACCTGGGTACCTGTTTGTTTCAACCTCTCACCGATCCAGCGCAACTCATACTCCTCCTTCTGGACACATCACCTGCCGGCAACCCCCCAAAGCGGCCTGTGCATCCCAGGGTGAATGATGAGCACGGATGAAGTCATGAACCTTGGAATCTCTCACGTCACAAATCGCACGGATTTTTCGTCGCTGCAGGTCTGCTACTTTGCTGCTTCGTCTGCTCCAGGTTGGGAGACTCTGGGCATCACCAAGAGTATATGCTGTGCAAACAAAGGGACAATGCAGCTGCATCTTCTCAGTCACGAGGGGTCGGGCTTGATAAGGCTTAATGTCTTTGCTTGTGCTGATACACACGAAACATCGCACGTATCGCGGCGGACGGAGCTCCTCATCCCTTCAAAGGATCGAAGGTGCAGGCAGTGGAAAGGATCGAAAAGGATGGCCCCGCTGTCCAAAGAAGGAGCGAAACTTCCTGACTCCATCTCCATCTCCACCTGACTGGAGACATATAATATATATAGTATACAATGTACATGGACCCCCAGCAATGATTTGAGTGGTCCCAAAAGAACATAGGAAAGAACACACCGTGTTCTGGTTCCATGTTCTACCCGTGTGGTCATCATGCTCTCGGTGCTTCACACAGCCTCATGAGCCACATTTCTGCACGAAAACCCACCCCTGCACGCGTGGTGTGCACCCCACGCGTAGGAGAGGCTGCTTTTGTGATGAGCTACCTGGGCTGACATGGCACCAGAAGTGACCACCACTCCCCACGGGTGAGCCGGTTTCGCCCTTCCAGCCCACGTCCGCCGGTTCTGAGGTCGATGGACCAGCTGAAGCGATCGATGGGATGCTCGGGCAAACATGAAGCCCGTGTTCACGTGCTCCTCGCTGGGTGGAACAGCAGCAGCAGCAGCTTCCGAGCTCGGGTTTCCAGTGCAAGACTTTGGTCCAACAGTCTGTTCATGTCCGTGCTCAGACATTTGGAGTACATCCTCACTCCTCAACTATGGATATGAGAAATAAACCCTTTCTAGAACATCATCAACCAGCAAACTGCCTGTGGAGGTGGACGGAAAACTCCTCATCTATCCGAATGGAAAGAACTCCCTAAGACCGGCGGTTCCATTCTCTCATCCGGAACACCGATTTCTGGAACCGATGGAACACCCGAACCGGCACCGAAGCGCAACCTCGACCGGTTCGCACACCGGTCGACCGCAAAGGCCTCCAGAAACCAGACTGATCCGACATGAGGAACAAAGATACTGAACTTGCCAAGTTGAACTTCGAAACTGACTGTGGAAACGCATCTGACATGAGGAACGCATTGCCAAGTTCAAGCGTTCCTGCGTTCCCTAAACCACTAGCCAGGGGTTGCCTCAAACCAAATTAATGCAGCCTCGCCAACGAGCAAACCTTGCTGAATCCCAAACGCCTCTTGACTTTTTGAGGTCACCAAACGCCAAGCTGCTCCAAACGTCACCCGTCAGTCGTGAAAAAGTTACCTTTTCTTCCCAGCGCTGCTCATCTGTTGCGCCAGCGTTAGCTGTGCCAGCTGCTCTTTGAGCTGGGCCAACTCCCTGAGCGAGCGGAAGACCAGGTTTTTTCATGTGCCGATCTTGGAAGCCCCTTGAAGCACCGGGTAAAAGAGGGAAATCTTCTGAAACAGTGGGTTTACATGACTTTACCACCTTGGTCTATACACTATACAGATCACTGTAGTATGTATTATATGATTGTATATGTGTATATGTATAGAGTTTCAAAACTGCCAAAGTCGTGAGACGCAACTGGTGAAAACCAGGCACTTCTGGACCAACTCCACGCAGTCCTTTTCCTCCAACTCCACGCGGGTGCCCGGCCTCTCCAGGGCTTCGCGCTTCTCGCGCTCCAACATGAGCTCCAAATCCAGCACCGTGGACCTCGCCGAGGATCGGCGCGCCTGTGGCGAACGCCGCAAAAAGGCAGTCGGGTGATGGTGAGAGTCCAGGAGTGATGTGGCTGATTTAAGTTACTTGAACCTCTTCAGTTTTCAGATGTTTTCAGTAATTATTGTTTTTTGTATTGGCATTTTGGTCCGTTCTTGTCAGGTATTCGGTGGTATTCGCCAACATTTTCCTCTACACATCCACATTCATAGCTGGTTAGCACAGTGCTTCTCAAGACCGCAATGTTTCATACGATGTTTGTGGCGCAGGTTTTTTCCGGCGGGCATCTGAGCGAAGGGTTCTTCTAAAAGACAGGCCAAAACATGAGGGTCATCATCATCATCATCATCTGCATCTCTCTCTCTCTCTCTTCTTCCCTGTCTTTTCTCTTCTCTTTTCGTAAGTGTTAACTTTCTCTCTGAGGCCGGGGGCAGTGGCCACGAGTCGTGGACGAAACGCAGCCCTTTCGCACGCAGCCGGGAATGTTGCGAGTGGCTGCGGTATCCACGGTGTCACCCTCTGCGTCGAGTGCGAAATGCACATTTCGTCGCAAATCGGTGGCCGCAGTGTGGAACCGTCCGTCGAACAAGGTGGGCGTTGCCAACGTCTAAAGTGTATAACTGTCGTCGAAAACGAAGGGGGGAAGTTGCCCAAAGTGTGTAACCGCTGGAATCGAACAAGAGTTGCCAAAGTGATCCAACCGTTGTAACCTAAATGTTCTCGGGCCATCCGTGGTCTAGTTGTTTCTTGTTTGTACGAGCCGGCCGCTGAAAAAAGATGTTTCAGATCCAAGTGAACGGAAGATGGTCGCATCGGCGGGGTGCGAGTGGATTCATGAGCAACATCTTCCAGGACTGCACCAGATAATCTCTACCCAATGGTTGAAACATGAAGCGTTTATTCTGGAAAAGGAGAACTTATAGCAGAGCTCATAAAGCCTGTGAAGGCGAGGTGGTCTTCACTGGTTGTGCAATGCAATCTTTGAGTTTGGTCGCTTTTTCATCCGTTTGGTCGCTGGCCACATTGCACCATCTTACAGCCTTTACGGCCGTTTTCGTGCCGTTTTCGGCAGCCCCAACCCTGACGCAACGACCGCGGGGGTATTTTCTGAGAAACCGTGTGTGATGTTCAGAAGGTGCCAGGGTCTCTTGAACACTCAGGTGGGTTGCCGGGTCCAAGGTGGTCGAATCTATAGGCGATACACATACACACTGCGGAAGACAAAACGTGGAACCTAGCTTGGGACCCTCACCCCACATAGCCACCTGGATAATGATTACGTCCTCTACCAAAGACCAAAGACTTGCGAAGACTTCGCTGCGCAAGCTTGTTCATGGCTCCAGGAAACCGAGATTTTCGCTCATCTGTGTCATCTTGGAGTCATCTTGTGTCCCTAGGAGGTCCCAGGTCAGGATGATTGGATGGATGTTGCTGCACGCAACACCTGCACAAACCAAAGCAGTGACTTGCACGGCAAACAGCATTGCCACTAGGTCCACCCCCCGAGGTCCACCAGGTCCACCGATCTCCCTTTCACATCTTGCCACTCGCCTCGGAAGGCAGTGATGACGGAAGACTCCTGGCAGCCAGGCCAGCCGATCCCGGATCGGGCGGTTCCGAAGAAGCCGACGACGCCGAGGGTCCCTTTTCCCCACACATCGTCCGATCGAACGAGAAGAGACGAAGAACGAACGATGTGGATCCTCCATATCCGCAGCGAACAACGATCTTCGGAATGGAGGTCTGAAGAAGGTCTGATGGAGACACCCTGGTGGCGACGATCCGCAGGGAACCTGGAAACTAACCACTGCTTGGTAGACAACCAGCTTCCAGCAGGTCATTGTCAGGGTCTATGTTAGATTTCGGGAGTATACTCAGTGAATGAACACTGATCCTCTGATTTGCGGGGGTCTCCTAGGAATGGGAAGACTCAGATGAAAGCGCCCCGACATGGAAACGACTGGATGTTTTCCACGTTCCAATGGACCAATGGACCACAGCTTCTTCTGGCATGGGCTCCTGACTGATGTGATTGCTGAAGGAAGAGATCCAAGAGAGCTCAACCTCAGATCGATTTCGACGGCCAAAACACCCTCGGACTCCTGTCTTAGGAAATCATCAACCTTACCACACTGCGACCCATGGGCACACCCTGTTCCAGCGGCGAACAACAAGGGGAACCCACTGCAGTGGGCATGTCCAGCAGCTAGCATATCATCTGAGGTAGTGCAGGATGACAGCAGCAAAGGACTATACTGGTGCTAGTAGCATGGGAGAATCTTCATTTCCGCTACTAGCATTGTTCATCATTCCCTACATGCTCAACCAGATAAGCGGATGGTGCTAGTGCCAGTGCCTGTGTGCTGCCCTAGGCAGCGCACACAAAAACTCGAGCGCCAAGTGACTGCGGCATCGAGCTGCTCCGCGCGCTCGTCGACCGCGGCTTCGACTGGCTTCGCCGTGAGCCGCCCGCGGACGACGCGCGGCCCGCGGCCGTCGTGGCGGCGGCGGCCGCGAGCCGCGGCGGCGGGAGCTCCGTCGGTGCGGGCGGCGGCAGTTCCGGCGGCGCGTGCGGCTGGGGCGGGTGAGGTCGGCCCGAGTGGCGCCCCACTTTGAAGGCGGCCTGCGGACCTGAAGGCGAGATTGCAGCGTGTTTTTTTCCTAAGAAGCTTATCATGATGTTATCAGAGTTGCTCATTCTCGACCATTTGATATAGGAACCGAACCATTTTTCTACATTTTTCTCGTGTCTTGCTGCACTCTGTCAAGGATCTAGCTAGTCAACGTCGAACACCAACACGGCAGGGCCTCCCACGTCGCCGGAGCAAGGCTTCCGGAGAGGATACGACAAGGAGAGCCTTGGGACGTCGGCCAATGTGGCCAGAAAGAGGTGTATGCAATGAGCTCCTTTTAGGAATAGAAGGGGTCAGTGAGTTTGCTTTCCCCTTGACCTATCGGACCGTTGTAGGTTGTACATGCGCCTCTCTGAACCCACCAAAGCAACCAAACATCGAGCCTAGACATCGAGAGACTCGCCGGTCTAGCGGCCTCATCGCCCCGATGCCGCCGACTTCGATGCGCGCGGCCGTTCAGAACGGGTGCGATGGTGCCATGGTTCATGGTGTGTTTGCACCCCCCGCCCGATCGGGCATTGGGCTTCCTATATAGGCCGGGGGAGCTAGGAGCTAGGAGGAGTGGGACAAGCACGGACCATGGAGAGTGCAAGGAATCTTGTGCAGGGATGAACAGATTGAACAGTATGTGAAGACATGTCCCAAACACTCCATGGGACAGCCATTTGACCTCCCGTCAACCACCCCAACTGATCGGCAGTCCTATGGCAGTCCCAGACAGGTCGTGTCTGGGTGTGAACACTTGTGAAGCACAGCCAAGTGGCATCACTCCAAAGCCGCCTCTGCCCCTCTCTTCACTCCATGTTGGCAGCACGAGGGGAGGAAGCTGTGCGATCTGAGCTAACGAGGCCCTGTGGTAACCCATCTGCCCCTGTGGTACTTACAGACCCCGCACAACGGACGGGAGCAGCTTCGTCGATGACAGGTCCAGAGAGGTCTATCTTTTTCGCATGAATGTCTCGTTCTTAAGGCACAGCTTGCCTGACGCTCATGGGGCTACCTAATGGATGCATGAAACACATGGTCGGCTAGCCATGATGGGCCATGATCCACCGAGCCATCGCGCCTCTCATGGCGTTGTCACGGGTCACCCGTCTGACTCGTTGGGGCGTGACTCATCTGCTCCTCTTTTCATCTGCAAACGATTTGGGGTGGACTCATTGCGGCGGGACGACGCAGCCGTGACCCGGAAACAGCGGCGGTGGCAGTGGCGGGCGAGGGAGGGAGGTTTTTGTTGGGCACGTTCCGCGTCAAAAAGGCATCAAAAAGGACGTCATGGCCGACACCGATGAGTGGAGACGGTGGAGGTTTGCCCCCCCAAATTCGAGAGAGTCTCACTGGAAGCCGCTGGAGCACCAAAATCATCACATGGAGAGCCAACACCTATGGTGCCTCTCCAACACTCTTTGAGTGTTGGTTCTGCATGAGATTCATGACATTTCATGACCACAATATGGTGTCTCCAAAGAAGAGTTGATCAGAATCAAGTTGCTATATGTTCTTCATTGTTCTTCCACGAACTCGAGGGCTTTGAACAAGCAAACAGCGCCCCGTTTGCTGGGTCGAGGACCTTTCACCGCCCGTCTTCACCGTGCGACCTTCGGGTCCAAACCCCATCGGCCAACAACACCGTCTCCGGAAGCGTCGGCCCCGTCACCGACCGGCCTCCCCGGCCGTGCGGAGATCCTCCGCGCGGCCCACGCGCTCGCTTCCGGCGGAATCTCCTCGTCTCTCCATCGTGGATCCCAGAGATCCCTTTCCGGAAAGAGGTGATCCGTCATGACCTGATCCCGACGGGTGCCAAATCCGAGTTGTGGGGTTGAGGGATTTTGTTGCGATTTGGATCATGATTCTTGGAGAAGGACCTTTTTCTTTCCGAATACATCTCAAAAGCTGAAGTCTCAGTGAACCCCAGTTTGACCACCGAGTTGTTAGACCATGTTAGACCTCCTATATTGATCCTATATCTATAGGTGATCCCTTCTCTTCGTGTGGCTTTTAGGACCTCCCAGCATAGCAAACCTTGGCCCTTCTGAGGGGCGATTGGCTCTTGGAGAAGGCACGATTCGAGGGCGATGAAATGCAATTGACTCACATACCAGGACCCTCTAAGGGGTGCCCAATGGAAGCCTATAGGTAGTGTGGGGTAGTCCATTGGACACCCCTTGGAGGGTCCAGGTATGACCAAAAAGATAGAACAACATATCTGCCGTAAGAATCCTTGGGCTCTCCATGGCAGGGGTCGGACCCGACACCGAAACAGGGGTGGGGCCCGAACCAAACCCTATCTGTTTGAGGGCCCAGATTCTTAGGGTGGGCACAATGCTGCATGGATACACTTTTCATCTTTATTGTGGGAGGTCACTTTCACTTTGTCTTTGCTCTTTTTGAGAACGGGGAAAGATGGATCTGTTGCAGACCCGACACGAAGAATCAAGATCTGAATCCAAAAGGATTGCGATGGTCTTCACAAGAAGGACATGATACAAAGTGGCTCACAGACTCACAGGTGGGTTTGGATATGAGCATCTGACAAAGTCTGAAAGGGATCCAGTCGTACAAAAACCTCAGGTTCGGTACAACTGGACTCCATGGACCCTCCAAACCTACATAGCAGTGTCGAACACATCACCTTCTCAAAGAGTATGTGAATCCGTAAGGAGTATCTATTTGGTCCATCCGATGGAATTCGGTGAAATTCATGAGAAAGAGTTTTACCTCCAAACCAGAACGCATGCCCAACGAAAAAAACCAAGACCAACTCATCCCGTTTTTTCCTGCCGTGACCTGACATCTGACTGGCCTCCATGTCAGCATCCATCCAAAAGTGCGGAAATGGATCCGACAAGAACACCACATCCTGGCGTTCCCCGAGCGTCGGCGAGCGCTCCCCGAGCGTCCACGAGCGCCCCCCCACATAACACGACGCATGGGATCACTTTCGCGTGAAGCGTCATGAGAAGGATCCAATTTCAATCCTGGTGCTTTCGCTTCTGACGCCGTCAGCGTCTTAAGCCCTGAATAAAGGGAGCAGGACTTTCCCACACACACGAGACGCTTACAGGCTTACCCAGTTCTTCCACTGTTGGTCTGTCCCCTAAATGGATCACTAAGCATCACCATCTGGAATATGCCTGGGTTCAGCTTTCACCTGCTTGTACCTAGGAGCCGCTCACATAGGAGCCGCTCCGGCCGCTGATCACATGTGGTGAACACACCTCTCGTTGCACCAGAAAAAAAGACCTCTCTCGCCGCGCCCCGAGGAAGTGGTTCCCGGGCCGTGTCCGTCAGCAGGACGTTGAGGCCCAAGTTTAGCAAACCGGCTAAGCAACGCCTGGGGCCGAGCCCGCCGCCACGCGAGATGAGACATAGGGAGAAGAAAACCCGGGATGACCAACCGGCTGCGATGACCTGGTAATTCCAAGTGATCAACTCTTTAAAAAGGGATAATGATTGGCCTGACTGGCAATCACTTCTTGATCTTCTTGGAATCATCTAATCCCAAGTGAGCTAAAGTCAAGTTGATCATATCTGTCAGCTGAGCACTGTGTTCCAAGTCTTTAGAGTCAGTGATCCTTCCAGAAAGATCAGAAAGTCTTCTTCCTCACCATGGCTTGCGCACCTAAAACGAATTCAAGCGATTTCAGAATTCAGCCATTCCAATTATTGTTATTTCTCACCTCCTCCAAGCGTCTGAACTCTGATGTTGGAGGACAATAACGAAGGATCGAAGCCATACAAAGCCGAATTCCGTAGAAGAAGGGAGACTTAATTGGGCAAGCCAACACACACTTCCTGGCCCATTTGGGGCTCAAACCCTTCCTCCCGACTCCACTGGGGCGACTCGCCAGCGTGCCATGAAAATGTCCACCGTCTCCTGATCCGCCGCGGCTCGCGGCGCGCGGCGCGCGGGGAGCACCAAAGAGGCAGGCAGGACGCAGTGCCGGCATCAAGTATCTCCCAGGGTGATGGGAGTATGTCATGAGTCATGAGATAATTAGATGGTGGAGGCCAAACATGAACTCCCAGCGTCAGGTCACCCGCAAGTGCGTCGCCTGACCCGTCACACCGACGTCGGTCTGAGGTCGCCGCGTAGAGCCACGTGGTGAGGCCGTGCCAACGCAAGACCTCTTCGGTCCTCGGATGCTGTGGCCAAACGAAGCGGAGGAGACTCCTCATCAAGGAACACCACGGTCCCATTGTGACCCCCTTCATTTCCCAGGTGATATATGGTGATATGGGGGGTCTTTGGGAGCTGAGGCCATGGATTTGGGAGGTAGTCCACCCTCCCCAAAAGATCATTCGTGAACAGTGAACAGCTTTGAATCGCTTTGACCTGTGGAACTGGCAACCCCACCCTGACTTTTGATGAAGTCCACGGCCAACAAGCACTCTGTCCTCACCCCTGGAATGACCCGGGAAACAGGTCGAAGAGTGCCCTAGACTCGTCGGCCCACTTACAACAAAGAGGGAGAGGGGTAGCCTAATAGCGATGGCCTCCAACCTACGAGCGTTGGCCTCCAATCCAACCTAATAGAGAGAGAGAGAGAGATAGAGCAACAATAACAAAGACACCTCTACCCATTCAGCGACTCCTATCTCGTGTGCCTAGAGCTTACGAAAGCGGGAGCTTCGACTACTACCCATACCTAGAGGAATCCTCTCCGTCGTCTCCTCCTAAACTCATGTGTCGATGTAAAAAAACGTCCACCACAAGCAGGATTACGTGTGACATTTGGGTGAAATCACAAGGTTGATCTACGAAATACTTCAGTGAAATTCCTAACTCAAAACCAAACCTAGCAAAATGATTTCTCACCCGCATGGTCTTTTGAGCACGATCTGGAACTAATGGATTCCAGTAAATAAATGATTGTGGATCGTGAGTGGGATGCTGTTGGATGCCCATATACCGATACCTGAAAATCCTGAAATGACCTCTGAAATGATGATTTTTTCATGAGAGTTCAATGGTTTCCAGGTTTCCACTCTTTGTCCAAAGAACCATCTCTCAACCTCCAAACCACGCATGCCCAGCCCAAGCGTCTCCGTATCCAGCGCCAAGACCGCGAAGGCCTTCGCCTTGGTGAGGGTGGGACGATGCGGAGGGTGCGGTCTTGACGAAGGGCACCACCACCACCACACCCACCCAATTTTTGAAGAGTGTGGAACCCACGAGGAAGGCGTTCTCAGAAACTGGGGCATCTAGCTGTAACAGCGTCATGACCATTCTGAATGGAAGACCCAACTTGGGAAGAGGGAAAATTCGCCCTGCCGCAGAGTTTTTTCTCCGGAGATGGATGGGGCCAGTCGATCAAGCTGTACCATGTCTGGTCACAAGGTGGTAAAGGTGCAAAAAAAATGGTCCATCAATGACCGCCAACACAACGTGGGATTTGTCCTGTAAAATTGACATCTGGTCAATCTTCCACAGGAAAAGTATGCTTGTAGCACAGGTGTCTATTCATGTGGGAGGATTTGAACAGCACAGTTGAAACACAATGATTCTGTAAAGTATGATGCAGTCATTCGCAAAACACTCATTGACTCATTGCTTTGTGATGTCTCATACCCTCTGACCCTCACACAACCCTTGGGAAACGGAATATCCAACCCGGGCTACTGAGCTCGTGGACCAGATGAGGCACGTTCACTTTGATGGACGTGTAGAGATTGATGGCCTCACTGCTTTGACAACTATGCTAGAGATACTGTAGATCACTGGACAAGCAAACTGTTCTTGTTGTGGCGGGGTGTCCCCAATCCCCTACCAAAAACTTGAAGGATGTTCACTTTTGCTGGGTGGTTGGTTCTTGGAGATCCAAGCAAAGCCTGCGCGATGGTTTGTGAACCTTCATCACCACCACCATCTCCTATGAAACTTCAAACCACAAGTTGAACAAGTTGTCAAGCCCCAAGAAAAACAAAATGCAAAACTTGGTACACTTCTCGAACCCTCGTCGGTGTCGGCACGCGACGTCTTCCCACCGCCCAGCTTCCCGGTGCGCGACACTTTTGTCGCGCTTGAGCCATGCCACGATGGCATGTCGAAGTCTCGAATGCGTGTCATCCCTTGTGCAGGGTCCATGCTCCTCTCTGGTTGGGATGTGGTACACACTCGATTTGTGCACTCGGGGCACATGACTAGTCGGCCAAAAGTGGATTCGTGAATCCACAGCCTGCGGACAAAAGTGCACCAGGCGTCAAGGTGGAGGCTGCCAAGATGGGTTGGCTGGTGATGCGGGTAGGGTTAGGAAACTACCACAGTAACAAGGCAATAACCGGTGCATTTCAAGTGAATATGCCTTATATGTGTCTATAGATACACGAGTAAATGCAAGAACCCTTTTGGTTGTCAAGAGGTCCATTCAGGTGTCAACTATTCACACCCCCCCTGAACCAAAGGTGGGACTTGCACTTTGTGGATAGCAATCATCAAGACATCTCTCGGCACATTCATTTCATATTCTCCCAAACCCGGTGTTGGGATCACGATTTCGGCACATCCGAACTCTGGCTCTTCTGAAAAGACCTGCACTATGCTTTTTTCGAGAGCTATTCCAGTGTATGTTGTAAACGGATGTGTGATGAACTGTGTCATGAAAACCTGTGCACAAAAACGCTGAAATATCATGCATTGAAACCTTACTCTGCAAGTCGACTATTCGATACAAGCATTGAATTTTCCTCTGAGTGCATGTCTGCTTCTTTGGCTTGAAACATCGTGCATTTATCAATTTGTGAGGAGATCCAAGCATCACATTTCGCCAAGCTTAAAGATATACAATGAAAATGTTCGAAACGAGAGAAGGTTATTTTTCTTTTTGGGGTCAAATCTCAAAGCTTCAAACTCTTCTTTTAACCAAATCCTTCAAGTCTTGGGCTATGGGATGAAGATGCACTGCCGGCAAGGCTTCAAAATCTTGTCGCACCTTGGGATGCAAGAAGGCCGACTATGTTCGCCAACGATGTGGAGATGAGATGGAAATTCAAAACTGAATCCAACTCGTGTCTCCTGAGACAAAAACCTGCCGGCATACAAGTCTGGCACAACGAGGGCAAAATCACTTGATGCTCCCCGTGATGTTTGAGCATCCGGCATGACTCACGATGCACACGCTCTCCTGCCTTCCTCGTGATCTTGTAGCGAAATTCAGGTAGTTCCTGAGCATCTGGCGGGGAATGCGAAGGAGGGTGCGGTTCTGGCGGCGAATCACTCGGTGGGATCGGTGACGAAGGTGAAGGCTCTGCTTTGACTTCTTCCCAATCCCCTTCACTCAGAGAATCATCATGATCCATCTTGCCATCCTTCGAGTGCTCTCCATCAACCTGGCTCTTGGATTTCCCTTTTGAACCTCCTTTGGCCCGAACATCTGTCGAGGTCCCTGCTCCCGAATCCTCAGCCGCCTGCCCAGGGCTCACGGTCACATGAACTTCCGTGTCACTTGGTGCATCCACTGTGATCGTGATCTTGGACTTTGGGGCCATGGCTTCAAGAACACTTGCAAAGATTTGAATTGTATCCAATTTATGGAATTTAGCGACTGCAACCTATTGGCACTCAATGCACAATGGTGATGTGAAAAGCTCGAATCAAATGAGATCTTGTTCCCAACTGAGTCAAGTTCGAAATAAACACTATGTGGATTTCTTCGTTCTGTCGTGCTCAAGTCGATCCACTCGATCCCACTTGCTACAAATGGCAATGTACATCGACTGGATCAATTGAGTCACAACAGATGCAAAAAACAAAAGACGATCGTTCAGCTGAATTCATTCGCTCTATGCTTCAAAGCCTTTCGTGATGAACCATTTTACTACATCAATTGCCAGGTCCTTTGGATATTCACCTAGCTTTGACAGATGCTGGTCGTTTAACGACATGTGGCTCTCACAATGACAGATCTTCGGCTGAAACATGGGCATGGAACATGCGAATCGATATCGATGCAAAGCCGGCGCTTTCTCAACGTCATTCACATACGTCCAAGATGGACTCCAATCCATGGAACCGGCAGAACGACTGAACCAGCTCCTCACGCCAGTATGAGCACCTCTGACTCATCTCAAGAACCCTTACATCACAAATCTTCAAGATTGGGTGGCATTCGCCAAGGATTCTTTCAAGTGCTTCTAGGTGCCCCTTCTGGAGTTCACTTCGCTTTGGCTGGGGAATCAAATTAAGGACCGGTGATCCTCCTGTGCACGGAGGGGAAGACCATCCGAGAACCAATGCTTTGGGGTGAATCCCATTCATTTGAACAAGCCATGAACGCAAAAGCTTGCCAACACGGAAAAGATCAATGTCCTGAGTGACAGGAATCACAACACAACACTTGGTGTTGAAATCATTGGCTCCCTGTGACAATCCTGCATGGAAGGTGGTGCACAGTTCAACGATGATATGCGTCGCGATCCCGGCTTTCACCTGCATCCCCACAAAACTCAAAAAGCTCTTGAAGTCATCGAGACCTCCAGCAGACAAACTTTTCTTTGCCTCAAAAACTGAAAGGTCTCCTGCATGCGGATCGTCATCTTGGACTTCGGCAGTCTGCACGTCAGACTTTCGAGATTGCTTCTTCCTATCTCTAGTTGTGATCACTTGCCATTCTTCTTGTCCTAGGACCTCAACGATTCCAAGCTGACTACGATGATAGTTGTTTGCTTCAATGGGCAGTACCTTGGTAAGGAGATCAGCAGTGCACTTAGTGCCTGGCAGCCATTCCAAAACAAGATGTCCACAATCTCTCAAAGCTTGGATGTAACATACTCAAAGCACCGATGCAAGCTTGTGAATCCGTGAAGATCACTATGGGGTGATGGTCACCAAGGTTGCCACTTTCATCAAACCTCAACTCAAGATACTCTTTACTTACTGGTGAGTCGCAACAACATGTTTCTGTCCCCAAAGCTTTCCAAAAATTCTGTGACATGTCGGATTCCCAAACACTCTTGAGCAAGTTGGCATACTGCTATGATCTCTGCTTCGCAAGAGGAAAGTGTAATGCACCCTTGGAGCCGACTATATCCCTTCACAAGAGATCCCTGCCAGAACATCAACCCACCGCTCGTCGAGCGCCGTTTCTCGAGGTCGCTCGAACCCCAAGACGCGTCACTGATGCCGGTCAGGCCATCAAGTTCAGGCAGCACAACATTCCCTGAAGGAATTTTCTGGAAAAGGTGCAAATGACTCCTGACGTACCGAAGGTACCTTCTCAGGGCATGCTCGTGCAAATTGCTAGGCGTCGCCTGTCCTGTGGCCAGAATGGACAGGAATCTGGCTTGATCAGGCCTGGACTGTGCCCACCACGATAGTTTGCCAATGATCCTCTTGTACCTCGAAGATGCCTCTTCCGTCAAAAGCTCGATGCAACTTGGGTCCTTTATTCCCTTTTCGAGAATACTCAACAAATCTGGTGGCACATCGGAGGACCGAAGCTCGCAACAGAAAGGATCATTGACAAATAAGTCTTCTAAATAGCTAGGTGGCACTCGAAGCAAGATGTCTTGTGACCCGGCGGGACGGATGATGTGACGCCCTAAGAAGATAATTGTCCCTCCGGCTCCATTTGACTTCGTGATGGTACCAGTCACCTTTACCTTCAGGGTTTCTTGAAGGGCTCCCCTGACGTCAGCAATTCCACTCTTGGAGACCGAACCAACCAATAGGTCATCAACATATATCATCACTATTACTGGAGCATTTGAAGGACACGACATGCCGCAGAGCACGGTAGGTTCAGACATGCAGGGCACGAGATTCACCTTGTCAGTGAGGATCCTTGTGCACGACTGCAGCCAGCTCTTGCTTGCTACTCGGAGTCCGTTCATCGATTTGTATAGATCGAGATACACTCCCTCGTAGTGTGTGCTTTCAAATGAACAGTCAGATGGAAGCTTCACGATTGCTCGGACTCCAGCTGGTAGCTCGCTGTTCAAAAAAGCTGTGGAAATATCAAGTCCCTCCAAATGCATGTCGTGGTGCTGGATCATGCTCAAGAAACAACGAAAGGTTTCGACGCTGAGCGTTGTGCTCGAAATACCCAGGCTCTGGGCTGAAGCACTTCCACTAGCGATCTCTTGAGCAACGCAACGTGCCCGGCATTGCCCAGGCATGCCTTCCACCGTTTTGGCTGTCAGGACCCAACGGCATGGTATGATTCGGATCCCGAGTTCTTTGGCAAGACTTTGGGCTTGCGGCATTCGAAGTGGCTGTCCAACCTGAAGACTATTCATCGCCTGGAGTTCAATCAACCTTCCAGCCTTCACTTTTTCCGAGTCAAATCTAGTCAACCCATCCTCCGAAATCCCCATGGATGGTTCCACGAGGTGAATGGTTGTATTGCAAAATGACATCGGTGTGCTTGTCAAAGGTCCTGCATCCTTATTGGGCACAAAGATGGGACAGACAAGTCCACTTCGATCCGAACTCTTACGAACCAATTCTTCTGGCGGAGGACTGAGCCATGCAAGGAATCCCGACAGATCCATTGGTGCTGTGCTTGAGTCGTGACTTGGATCAACTGCATCTGGCATTTCGATGTCGGCTGGATCCGGTGGTTCAGTGGGACTGTACTCCATGTCATGATCTTGTTCCGACTCAAATACAGGTGCATCGCCTCGCTTCGAATCACTCGGCTTCTCAGATGCATCGCCTGGAGCATGCATCGGTGGCTTCTTT